GCTACTGTATATATATATATATATATATATATATATACTCTGATATATTGTTAAAAAAAAGTGTAAATATAAGTTATAATAATATAAAATATATGTTGTCAAATTTCATATAAAATTAATACTAAAATTTTGTGTAACTATATATTAAAGAAATTTATATCTATATATATAATGACATTTTTAGTGTATTATTGTATGTAACTTTTTTGTAGTGTTAAAGATAAATATTTTTTTAATAACCAAGTGCAGCAAGTGTCACTCACCAAAAGAACTTCGATTTAATATATTTTACTTACATTAATAAAATAAAATAAAAAATCTTTCCATATACCTCATTGCCCATTTCAAGATCCAATGGCTTTAAACTCAAAATTATTAATTAAACTAAAACAATTTCTTAAATGTTGATTCAGACAATCCATGGTACTAGAATTGATTTTCTATAACTTGATATATGGTTCGATCAAATTCATAAAAATAAAATTTACATATAAATTATTTTGATAAGTGTCACACCGATTTCCTTTTGTATATAAATTATTTAGCATATAAATTACTCTGAAATTGGTACGTAATTTGAGGTAACAATTGACCCTTAGAGGGCATTCAATAGGGTGAAGTTTTTTCATATTTAAGAATCATAATTCTTGAGAATTAAAAATTTTGAAAATTATGATTCATTAAAATATATTTACTTACTCATAAAGATTTTTAAAAATATTCATACAAGATTCTTAAGAATTAAAGATTTTTACATATGGTTATAATAATATATTCTTAGGTATATAATTACTTTTTACAAAAGTAGTCTTTTTTAAATAAAATCATTAGATAAATTTATTTACTCAAATTTTATTACAAATATGACATTAAACTATTTTAAAAAGTTAAAAAAATTATAGTTAAAATTATTTAAATACATACATAATTCAACAAAAGAAATAACAAAAAAAATGCTAAATAATAATTAAGAAAGAGAGGGGGAGAAAGAGGAATCGAAGGAGAAAGACAGGGATAGAGAAAGAGAGGAGGAGTGAGAGTGAGAGATAGAGATAAAGGGAGAGGGAGAGATGAAGAGTGGTAGAAAGGAAGAGAAGAGGAGTGAGAGTGAGAGATAGAGATGGAGAGAGAGGGAAAGTGAGGAAGAAAGAAAAATAAGAGAGGAAAAAAGAGATTTTATTTTAAAAATGAATACTAAGATCTTTTTATAAATATTAAACTTTTTTCTTTAATTCGAAAAAGTTAAATTTTTACCTATCTCATGATAATATTTTGTGAAAAAATAGAATAAAAATGATTGTCAGAAAACTATATTCTTAAGTTTTTTTAAAAATAATTATCAAATATAGAAAATTAAGATTCTCGTTTTAAGGTTTTTAAAAATATAAAATTATTTCACGTACCAATCCTGCCTAATGTGTTTTTATATTTTAATCACCCAACTTTAATCTTGTGTGCCATCTTTATTAATGTCACAATTATTTTGTAATAATGAGACTAGATACTCAATCTTATAAATATTCAATATCATCGACATCTTCTAAATTCCACCTTTCCAAGTCATTTTTTTTCTTATTTCTTGTCAAAATTGCAATGTATATACTTTGTCAATTCCTATTCAAGCGAAAACCTTTGATTCCAATATGGGTGTCCAAAGTTTAGGTTTAGAGTTAACTATTTCCTTCAATCCTCAATCAAAATATATGCTCGACAAAAGGCATGTATTTATAGATTTTTTTATGTTCCAAGTAAGCACATCTAAAATTATCTTAAAGAAAGACTTAAGGTTGAGCCCTAATATAGACAATCCTTAAAGAAAAAAAAGAAAAAACTCTTTATTCTCACATTAATTCTTTTCTGAAGTCTTCCTTAACACCTCTCTGAGTATTCAACCATACGTTCTTTTAAGTCAAAATTTCCATCATATATCATCTCATTATATATATTTTTTTCCTATCCTCTCTTACCTCTTTGATGCGTATTTTATTTTATTGATGAGTAATTGTAGTATATGGATTAATGTATTAATAAGTAAAAGATTTTTGTGCAGTACTAGTCATCTAATTATGTAGCAAGTCTAGACAGGAAACAAACACTCCAATAATTTTATTAACTTTTAGACTATCTTCTTTAAAATTCATTACAGTAATAAATTATTTTATTAATAAACAGTGTTATGTTACAATATACATACATTTTAAACTATTAATTTATTTGCTGCATTAAAAGATTATATCTTAATTTTACTACGAGAGGAGCGGGGGTAGTCGTTCAAATTAAATACTTCTGAACCAGCTATATCTTTAAGGTACAAAAAGGGGCCATCTATGTTCAGACTTAATTAATAATCTAATAGCTATTAACTAAGAATAAAGAAAGATAATGATATCCAGAATTAGAGTTGAACTAAACATAGCAGGAAAGGAATGGAGGGTTTACCGGAGCGGATATTATCCGGCGACTTTGTTATTGTTAGTGTTCCATTACAAAGGTTGCTGAGTTGTGATTCCATGTTTCCCAAAAACAAAGTCGCTTCACTGAAGGGCTTCGACAACTCCTCCTTGTATCTATGAAGAAGTTCGCAGTATGTTTCCTTTGAGGTAACAAAAACAACAATTAAAATCTATCTAAATTTGGAAACAATCAAGATATAAAAGTAAAAGAGAAATTTGAAAACACACCATGAAGTGATCAAGTTGAGGACCATCCCCTATCTGACGGCGAGCATTCATGCGGTGGCTTTCTCGACCTATTTCTTCAAGAAGGGATGCAACTTCTGGTGGTGCTCCAACCTTTGAAAATAATTACATGAATTAACTTGCTTACGAATTAATTAGGCATAGTACTAGTAATTAACTCTATATGACCTTTTGGCATTCTATATATGCAGAGAGTAAATCTGGATAAAGAGGGTGATTGGCGATCTGGATCTTCATCATCCGATCCGACATATTAGAGTCGGTTGCATTCTGTTGCGGTGCTTCTAGCTGCAGGTAACAACTTGGACGCATTTCAGAAGCTCTAAACACGTCTTCTGGACAAGGCAAAAGAGGTTTCAACCTGTAAACTGCTTCCATCACTTGCTTAACTCAACTAGGGTCTAGCTGGATAAGAAATTGAGCAAGTTTAAGGACAAATTTAAAGCAGAGTTAAGTTAAAATATTGATATCTTATATCTAATGAAAATTAATTATGCATAACCTAAGGAAATGAATATATATGCATATGAAGCAAAGTTGAAGAATAGGAGGAAGAGGTATGTGTACGAAATTAGAGATGAAAATGACAGAGGAAGAAGGAGTTTTCTTTTCCAAGAAGACCTGGGGAAAGGAACAAAAGGAGAGAGAGGAAAGGAAGGTGTGGGGAGGGGGTGAAGTGTGAAGTCAAGTCATTTGTATCATCTAGGAGTTGTCAGTATAAGTCGTACGTATTTGTAGAAGGACCGTCTGAGTGAGATTCTCACACGAGAAATGGTTCGCTGCAACGTAACCTTCTTTTATTTGTAATCAATAATATAAATATGAAGTCCTTTTTATTTAACAACTTTTAATGATATTTTTTTCTTTTTAGACTTATTTTACTATAAAAAATGTTAATAATGCACTATCTAAAAGACTATTGTACCAAAACATAAAGGTGACTTTTGCGATAACTATAAGGACCAACTTGATGATAGAAATTAAAGTAGTATGTGCATAATTTTAAATTTAAACTATGATATTGTTAATGTAATTTCAGTAAATTAATTAAAAGGAACAACTTTTACAACAAATCACACCAATTGTTATGTTACAAGTGAAAAATAAATCAAAATATAGTAACGATAGAATTAGACTATTAGCATGAAATAATAATAATAATAATTATTATTATTATTATTATTATCCTTTTAATCCTTGAAAGGCTTGGTTTTCATGGTTCGTAAACTAAAAAACAAATTAAACAATTATTTTAAATGAGTCAAGGTGGGTTTAAACAATGTAAAAACTTATTGTTTATGATATTTTCTTTTGTTGATGATGGTTTATAAACTCTAAAGTGAAACAACTTAAGATGAAGACTTAAAAACAAGTTTGAATTTGGAGATAATTGTGATCAAATAGTATGGTATACTCGTTCTCTTTATTTATGTTATTTTTTTTAATATAATTATAATATTCATACATGTATTTATTGATATTGTCAATGATTAATTTTTATTAAAAAAATTAATTTATTTGGTAATATGGTCAAACCAATTATTTGTTAATTTATTTGAGGTTGTTCAGTTTTTTTTTTAATGTGTGTACTTTCGTTTAGCATTGCGAGGAAAGGTGACATTTGGTTTTAGAGCGTCTAGCTATTTGTCTATGCCTTTCTCAGTGTATGTTCTATTTAGAGTTTAAACGTATTCTTTGATGCCAAATGTGTTAATGTTTGCTAAACCTCTAGAGGAGTGGGTTTTGTTCGATGCTTTTGTTAGTAATGGAGTCTATTTGAACAAGAAAAGAAATTGAAAACAAATGAATATTCTTCTCACTAGTGACGAAAATGAAACTCCTTCAAAAACCACCCATATGTGATTAACTAATAAGTTATTTAAAAATAATAATGTTTTTTTCTCTCTCCAGCAGGTACGTATTTGCATATAATTAGCGATATGTTGAAATGTCCAAAAGCAGTGTGAAAAGGATAGTTATCCTTTTTCAGAAACATGTTAATCTAACTGAGTTAAGAGCTGAAGGAGATGGCTTCGGAGATAATTACATGGTTTTGAAGATATATTGAGTGAACAGAAAACTCAATTATATGTGTTACTTGATATGGTGGGGTCTAAAGATTCTAAAGAGGCGCCTAATAAATTTAAAGGTAGCAACAAAGGAAGGGACAGAGAGTTCCCCACTTTTTTGGAATACAATTGTGATTTGTGATACACTAATGCGAGTTAGTCAATTATTTATGCTATTTTCCATTCCAATTGCATTTTGGGCTGGATATGGCCCAATGTGTATAGAGAAATGAAATTTAAAATAAATAATCAGATTGTTCGTGTCGAGAACACTCCTTCTCTTTTCCTTCTTGATTTGTCTCCTAAGTTCTAAATGTTGGCTAAGTCCTATCTTCGAATGGTAGGAGGGTATCTGCAAAGGCACTCCGACGCTCAAATGAATATTCGGTATAGAGCAATAAAGACTATTGTATTAAATAATCATACATGTCTCATCAGTCCCATCAATATCATATTTATAGTGACATTCCTGGGCCTGGTGGGCATTTGTATTATTGGGCTGGTACACAAGGTTTTGCACACTGATTATAACTGACGTAGATATGTTTAACATAATTAATATTTGCTTCACTTTACCTCATGTAAATTCGTTACAGCTGAATACTCATTCGGTATGTTCTTCGGCCGAGGGGGTATTCGGCATGTCCATTGGTCAAGAGGGGTATTCGGCCTGTTCTTTGGCCGAAGGAGTACTTGGCCTGTTCTTTGGCCGACTAGGTGCTCGACCCATTCATTGGCCTGATGGGTACTCAGCTTGAAAGGGTACTCGACCCATTCCTTAGCCTGATGGGTATTCGTCCTGAGGGGGTATTCGGCCTATTCCCAATACACACTCCTCTCCCATCCCCTCTTTTATTTTAAGTAAAAATATTATAGTTTTTATATATTTTTTATGTATGAGAATCAAACTCAATACTAAAAAAGTTTACCACAATTCACACACTTTTCTCAATTAACTAGACCCATTTGATACATTTTTTATTCGTTAGTTAAGAAATCATTGAAGATTATCTAATAAATACCAACACTATCTAATGTTTTTTTTTGTTCGTCCTTGACGTATCCACCGCCGATAGCAGTGACTAATCTCCTCGCTAAGCTGGAGGCACCTCAAAGAGTGGGATAGTTGGCCCCAAGATTTAACGCGGCTGCATACACAAGACAGGATTCAAACTCCTGACCTTGCTTAAGCGTGGATCAACCCCTACCGCTGAACCACACGCTTAGGATTAACACTAATACTTTCACTAAATTAAAAAGAACATAAAGAAATGAAATAAATTAGTGAGAAAAAAAAACTAAAAATGAATCGTAAGTAAAATCATATATCCTATATGTAGAAGGAAATAATATATAGTGT